CAAATTCACACTTCTTCATTTGTAGCACACTAGTGCTGAGACATTTCATTCCAGGAATAAAATACTGCATTCCCAAAAGAGAAGGAGAGAAAAAAGAAGCAAATGATAGTACTGCATTCAGGTTATTTAATTAATTAATTATAATATAATTAATAGTATTAATATAATTAACATTATAAGCAATGTACTATTTTAGGCTATTAATGTTTTAAAAGTAAGTAATTTTCCCATTGTAGGTATACCTGACACAGAGCAGAGCAGTAAAATATTAGAACTATTTATCCACAGGAATAGCTTTTAATTCAGCAGTTTTGGAAGAGGAAATTAACCAGTAAAATTGTTTACTTCAGCAGAGGCATTTATTTACACGGTTTTATTTTAGTTTACTCTTGTTTTGTTTTTTATGTGCTTGTCTGCTTGTCAAGCGGTAAAACTTCCTTCATTCCATTTGTTTGACCACATTAAGAAGACCAAAGTCAACAGATCTAGAAAGTATTTCATAGTCCCTGGAGTGCAAAGAGGACATCCAAAATGCTGTATCATTGGTTATTTAAGCCAGGATACATGTGAAACTAATAATTCTTTATGGACAGTTTTTGATGCTTTGACAGTGGAAACAAGTCAAGTGCTAAGTGGAAACCTTGATTTTCTTCCCTTTAAGAACTCACCTATTTTCAGAACTTGGATGTGCTCTCTACATCTACACAAAATGAGAAGTCCAATTTACCTCCATAACAAATTGTCACCTAACATAGTCATTCACATGGCTTCCAAAACAAAATCTCATACTGACATAACTCCGCATGAAATATCACACTATTTGACAGACAATACATGCCTCCTATGTTTCAGCAAACTATTCAGCCTGGGAACCTGTGTCAGGATAATTCTCTTACTGCAGATTAACAGAATCATTGCACTTAAAAATACAGCTGCTTCTGGGAATAAATAACATGATTATTTAGCAGCTCACAGCAATGTTAAGACAACGAAGGCATGCAGTATCCCTTCCCAGCTCCCCAAAAAAGGAGCAATTTGCTCTGAAGAAGGTCTTCCTCTGCTCTTCCCTGTTTGTATAGACCTGGGCATGCTACACATATATTAATACATATATTAAATGTAAAATATTTGCCTCAGTGTAGACAGAAAGAAAATAAAATGGAATCAAAGGTCCACTTTTGTTTTGGTAAGAGCAAAACCACATGTATTGGACCAAGACTGAGGGACCACAGAGAAAAGTCAGAACATTATTTCTGAAGGAAGGTGTGTGACAGCAAGATGCTTCAAAAATTTGAGATCAGCTGAAGGTTTGGGGACAGAGAGTCTTTTATTAATCTCTCCTAACAGTCTAGAAATGAAAAAGATTGTGCATTTAGTGTCCAAGCCATCTTTGAACCGAGGACTGATACAGCCATCGCAGACATCAGGGAAACCACAGAGCAGAACGCAAGAGGTTAACGGCAAAGTCAGTTTTAAGCAGAGAAGCAAGCTGATTCATAAGCAGGGGAAAAAAAAAAAAAAATAATAGTATTCTGTCACTTTCAGATCCTATCATACTATTGATGATGAAAGATAGCAATGGTTCATACCTGTCGTTTGCCAGAACTGTTCTTGCTCTTTCAAGTATCTGCTCCAAAAGACTGTGTTCTTCCCCACACTGCTTAGCAAAAAAAAGAATGGTGGTGCTTATGTACAGTTCCGCATACCAGGGGCCCTATCCTGTAAAAAAATGTCTAGAGCTCTCCCTTTCAATTGACTTCCTGGCGTGTGGGAGGCACCTGTTATGTGTTCCTGCTCCCCGTGAAGGAACAGCAGCCTTATCACCCAGCTTGCCAAGGAGAGGATCGAGTCAGCAGCACTCGCTGCAAAGTACGTGGTACCCCTGCAAGGTAAGTCTGTGGCATCAGGACAGTTAAGCAACACAAAAATTTCCCTGTCTCCTGTACAGCGAGTAAAACCCCAAACCCAAACTTTCGGGTCCAGCAGAAATTTCTCATCAAGGAGAACTCAAAGGAGTCTCAACTCCTTTGCTGCAGGAAAACTGCAAGGTCTCCTCCTAATTCTGCATGTGCCTGTGTTACCACAGGTTATAGTTTTTATATCGATTCACAGATCCAATAACTCTAAGGCCAGAATGCATCACAGGGATTACGTATCTGACTTTTTTTGATGTGACACTGGTCACAGAACCCCATGCAGCAACTCCTCCTTCAACTCTGCAACTGTCATTAGTGGTAGAATATACCTTTCAGGCTTTAACCGCACCTAATCTTAAAAACACAGCCCTAAATGAAATATCAAACTTGCAGGTAAAAAATTCACTTTGTTGTTAGCCTAAATGTACTGCTACCAACTGTACCAACCTAAATCCCCCTGAATTCCTCTAGATTTTTCTAGCTTACATTTATGCCAAACCTGGGAGTGTCTTTGGGCTAACTGCAATGAATTTATCAAGTTTTCCAGCCTCAAGCATGAGTCCCAGGCACGTGATCATTCTTGTAGCTCTTTTCTGAGTCCCTTCCCATGTTGCTTGATAAAGAAATCTGAGTTGTGAACTCCTTGCATCGCGCATTGCACAAACACAGTTTCTAATTACTGCTCTGAAGAAGTTTAAGCTAATGAATGAGAAATGATAAAGAAGAAACTTTGTATAAAAGGGAAAGGAGTAAATAATTAAAAATATGTGAAGCAATCACACAGAATTCATCAGTTAACGCTGTAACTGTTGTGCCTGCATAAGATCACCTTTCAAAGGCAAGCATAGTTTTATTACAGGATATATTTCACCTGTTTGGAAATTATGCTAAGGTCGTTGTCAATGACAAAGCTGCCACTACACAGGTATTTAGAGTTGAAAATTACCTATACAATTAAAAATAACTCCTTGAAAATACATGGGCAATGAGCAGCAGCTCCTGTGGTATCCAAATCCTTTTCTAGTCTTTAATCTGAAACCAGAGGAAAGAAAAGATAATTTTTATCATGTTGTTCCTGATGAATGCACAGCATGGAATTATGGAATTTACCTTTGAATAGCTAAAAATCAGATAGTAAAAACAACAACAACAAAACCTCTAACAAAACAAACAAAAAACACGACAAACCCTAACCATCGAGATAGACTGCTTAGAGTGACTGAAGCTGGAATAACTTTATTTCAAATCTATCGTATATTTTATTATCCACAGTGTTTGCTTTTGGGGCTTTCCTCAGCTTGGATAGTGGAAACACTTTCATCTGTTTCTTTTTTGGCTTCCAGTCGGTTTCACTTTCAGATTCTCATGTTTCACTCCAGCCTTCAGGTTTCAAGCACTGCAAGGGCATGCTTATTTAATTTAAACAAACAAAAAACCTGCGGCCGTCGGGCACACACACAACGTCTATTGGTCCGCGGTTCAAACACAAGGCTGGATCCCACACTGTCCCCTGAAGCATCTTCAAGGTGGTTCTCTGGGGTTTGAAAAGAAAAGAAAGAAATTGGAGTGATGACGAATTAAGGATCTATTTTCAAAAACCCCAAGAGTCACGGGGTTTTGCAGCGCTCTGGGACTAGCACCGATAAAATGCCGTTACATATTCCCTATTTCATGCCGTGTGTGTGTCGGGCTAACGCCGCGGGGCCGTGACCCCAGACTCGATGACCTGTAGAAGGGGGGGGGTCCCAAAGCACCAGCCGGGGCCGCGGCATTGCCCCCCCCCCCCCGTCCCCGCGGCGGCTGCGGTGGGGCTGGGGGGGCCGGACAGCAGCACACACCCCACCCCACCCCACCCCACCCCACGCCGGGCTGCCAAGCCGGGGGGGTGGGGGAGAGGGGGGGGAAGGCGGCGCGGCCGGCGCGAAGCGCGGTTCCCCCGCGGCCGCGGCTCCGCGCAGGGCGCAGCGCTGCTCCGCGGGAGCGCCCGCCTGGGGCTGCGCGCACCGCTGCTCCCGGAGCAAAAACCGTATCCCGGCGGTGTTTGATGTCATCCTTTACGATTTTAAGCGGGCGAAGCAGCTCAGCAAAAGAAGGGGAGCGACTGCGAAAACTACTTTTTTTTTTTCCCCCCCACCCCCCCCACCCCCACCCCGCAGGGAGAGTGGTATTTAACATATGGCAATCGGTAATCTCTACACGGAGGCTGTTAAAACATCTGCTGCCTCCAAACGCATGCGGCAGCGCCCGTGGGCACGGGCACGAGGCGGAGGGGCCACTCGGGCACGCTGCCTCCCGCGGCCGCCGGCCCGCCGCCCGCCTCGCACCGCACCGGCGTTTCCCCGCTGGAAAGCGTAATAAAAGCCGTCGCACCGGGGAAAAGTTGGTTTGGTTTTGTTTCGTTTCTTTTTTTTTTTTTTTTTTTTTTCTTTTTTTCCCCCCTTCCACTGCGTCGCTGCAGATCAGCGGCACCTCCGCGTGCAGAACTGGCATGCTTCCATTTATTTAGTTTGTTTTGGTTTTTTTGTTGTTTTTTTTTTTTTTTTTTTTTTTACCTAAAGGGACGCCCCCCACCCCCTCGGGAGGTGGCGGGGAGGCAGCGGCCCGCCCGAACTGCCCTTGGCTGCTCCCCGGGCGGCCGCCCCATCGCGGGGTGCGGGGGGAGCCCCCCATCTCTCCCCCCGGTCCCCGCGGCTCCTCGCCGCCGGCAGCCGCGCCGTGCCCCAGACATCACCCCACTTCGGAAAGTCAGTGCCGGACAATTAGGACACCCGTTGTCCTTCTCCCCCCCCCCCCCCCCCCAAACCCACATAAATCACAATCGCTGCATTGTCGGGCTACAAAGCCAGACGGGAGCGCTTATGAATTTAAGTTTGGAGAAGGAAAACGTGCGCTGACACAACACGCTCGCTGTTCACAGGAGTAGCCAGGAAGGGGAAATGAATGGTGGAAGTTAAAGAGCCTTTCATTGCGGAGCACGCCGCGCCGCAGCGGGTCCCCGCTCGCCGCCCTCGACGTACGGCGGGGGGTGCCCCCTTACGCGCTCCCTTCCTCCGTCCTCCTAAAACGCGAGCCTTGCCCAATTCCGCCTCCGGTGGGCTCGTCCCCGGTAAGCTCCCGCCACGGGGGTGGGGGGGGTGCTCGGGGGCCACGGGCCACACACGGTGCCCGGCAGCTCCCGGACGGCGCCGCCGCCGCTTCGCTTCGGCCGTGGCCGGGAGCTGTTCCCTTCGTGGACGGGACGAGGGGGGCGCGGAACTGTATTTTGCGGGGAAATGCTGGTGGCAACGCGTGGAGGGCTCGGCCGTCCCGGCCCGCCTTCTCGTTACGGGGGGACGGGAGGGGGTCCTGCTGGCTTTTTGGTTGGCGAAGTAGCCATTTGTTCCGACGGTTGGGTCGTCCCTGCCGGTTTTTGCAAGGTAGCCCTTGTCGGTGGACTCGGAAGAGATGCAACCCACTGCAAAGCCGGTCCCATCCCTCCCATCCGTTTTGATGCAGAGGGGCGAGGGATGACGTGGGGAGGGGGCGCGTTTGCCCACTCGCGGGCAACGACGGGCCGGTCGCTCGCCTTCCCCGATGTTGGCAGGGGCCGCGCTGCTCCCGGGCCCGGTGGTGCTCTCAGGTGAGGGGGCCCCCACCTCGCCCCCTTCCCTCCTGGGCTGCTTTCGATGCCGGGCAGCATGCGTCCTTAAAATATAATCTGCCCGGTAACAATCAGCGCGCAGCGGCGAGAGCCCCAGAGCTATTGGCTATGCAAATAGAGGGAGGGGAAGCTGCGCCCCAAACTCCCCACTCACACTTTTAAGGCGTTTTTGCTTCCTCTCCCCCCCCCCCCCCCCTCCGCCCCCAATCAAGCCCACCGCGGTGATTGTGGGGGGGCAGCCCGGCCGCTGCGGGGAGCGTGTTTCTCGCATGGCCCGGCTGGGGGGGGGGGGGGGGGGGACACGGGGGGGACACACACACCCCGCCGACGCTGTGTACCCGCCCGCCCGGGGTAGCTCATCCCCCGGCTGGCCCCGGGTAGCGCCTTCCCCCTCGGGAGCCTCCGCTCCACCGTAGCGAGCAGCGGCAGAGACGTCGCAAAGTTGACACACGTTGCAGGCGGGGAGCGCCTGCGACGCCGGGGAAGTGCGAGAGGGTGGAAGTCACCCGGCGTGGGACAGAACCCCTCTTCCCCCCCCCCCCCCCCAGCTAACATCTCTCCCTCCCTCCCTCCCCCGCTGCGTTTCCTAGAAAGTTGTATCAGTGTGGCCATGCAGTGCTAAAACGGTTCGCCTGCTAGAAACGCGTCTGTGTGTCGGAGGAAGTAGCGTAGTGATTATTCTTAGATTTCACCCCGAAAACGCTGCGGAACTCCCAGCCCTCAGAAGAGCCTCGGGGTCTTTTTCGGGTTCGCTGTTAGGCTGCAGTTAGCTGGGAGCTCTGTCCCCCTCCGGCTGCAGATGAAGCGGGTGGTGGGAGGGAGTGGGTCGAGGGTTTGAGGCGGGGGGGGGGGGCGGGACGTGGATCCGGCACCCCGCTAAACCTGGACGGTTCATTCCTTGCCCCCCCCCCCCCACATCGTCTCGGTGGGTACCGGGGGAGACCCCTTAATTTCTTGCAATAAGGGAGGACGGGGTGGGAATGTATTCAGACAGGCTCCCGCAGAAGGAAAAGTGTGGAGCGGATTTCATTTGGTCGCTGGAAGAAAAAGAGAAGCTGTCATTCGCGTGTGTGTGTGTGTCCCTATACGAGGGCCTCCTGGTTCCTTGTTAGCTTATAGAGAGGAAAAAAAAAAAAAAAAAAAAACCGCGTTTGATGTTACGTCTGACCAGCTGCTGTTCTCCATAATAACAAGAGAGAGAGAACTGCCTGCCCTGGCGAGTTGCGTCACTTTGCTTCAACTTTAGGCTAGAAATCAAGAGAGAGCGAGAGACGAGTTTCAAGGGAGGCAGGAGCGAGCTGGAAAGCCCTGCCGTCTTCCTCCCACCCACCTACCCCTCCTCCTTTACCCCCTCTCCTTTCCCCACCCCCTTTCCCCCGCTCCAAAAAAAAAAAAAAAAAAAAAAAGAAAAAAAAAAAAAACCCAAACCCAAAAAAACCCCACAACTTTTCCATCAGAGAAAGAGGGAGATCTCTTTGGAAACATGGAGCTGCTGTGCTGTGAGGTGGATCCCATGAGGAGAGCTCTGCCTGACCCAAACTTGCTCTACGACGACCGCGTTTTGCACAACTTACTAACCATAGAGGAGAGGTATCTGCCCCAATGCTCCTACTTCAAGTGCGTCCAGAAGGACATCCAGCCCTTCATGAGGAGGATGGTGGCCACTTGGATGCTGGAGGTCTGTATTTCGGCTCTTTCCCCCGGCTCCTCGGAGCGGGGCCGGTCGGGGTGGGGGGGGGGGGGCGGCCGGCCGCGGGCTCCCCGCCGCGGGCAGCACCTCCGCCTCGCCTCGGCCCCTCTCCCCCGGCAGCCTCTCGCCCCTCCGGTCGCGTTGGGGGGTTCTTCTTGTGGGTGTTACCCCCCCCCCCCTTTTCCTGAGCTGACCCGGTGCGGTGGGGGAAGGGGCGCGGGGCTCCTCGAGAGCCCGCGGGGGGAAATCACCCCTTCCGGGGGGCTGCCGCAAAGCGGGGTGCAGGAGAGGAGGAAGCAGCGGGAAGGGTGTGTGTGAGAGTTGGAAAAGTCATTTGCAATTAAAAAGCAAAGAAAAAAGCCGCCTCCGGCTTCGGGCGGCCGGGAGCGCTGGAGATCGGGGCTTTTCTGGGAAAAGGGAGCTGCGCCCGGGGCAGGGCGAGGGACGGGGGGTGCCCGGTGCCCCCCGCGTTTTGCCCAGCAAGGATTTCGTGCCCACGTATGCAGTGGTGAGGACGTGCCTTTTTTTTTTTTTTTTTTTTTTTTTTTTTTTTCGCCATGTTGCGTTGCATGCGACTCTGCCTCGGAGGCGCCGAGCCCGTCTTCCCCCCCTTTCTTTTGCCAAGAAGGGGCTCGGGAATGCACCCCACCACTGCGCCGCGGCTCCCCCCCGGCCTGGCGGGGGGCTGGCGGGAGGCCCGAGCGGCCGGCGGACCCCCCCTTCGCCCCGGTACTTCAGGCGGGGAGGCAGCGGGCCCAGATCCCCGCCGAGTCGCCTGCTTTGCCCTGGCCCCGCCACCCATCATTTGCCCCTTCGGATCTGCTTTGGGGGAGAACTTTCCCGGACCAAACCCCCACGGTTGGAAAGAACAGACTCCCCGCTTGGTTTTCATGTGCGATTTGTGCTTTTTCTCCCCGGCTCCGATTTTTGGTAAATTTTTGAAATAATTTTTTCGTTCGCTCCTGCTAAAAGGATCCAGGCTGCTCGGGCTCTCCCCACCCCACCTCGCCTTCGCTGTGTCTCCCGTCCTCACACACCCCCCCCCCCCCCGGCCGGATCGGGGGCGCAGAGCTGGGGGACACCCCCCGAGGGAATTTTTGCAATTGTCGGAAACGATAGGGGACCGTCCCGGGATGCCACCGGCACCAAAACCGGGACCCCCGGGGAATTTTAAATATTTTTATCGATTTTTTGAAAATATGACGAAATGAAGAAAAAAAAAAAAAAAGAAAAAAAATTGGGTCGCAAAAAAAAAAAAAAAACCTCGGAGGCTGCTCGCTTGCTGCTGGATGGGGCTTTTCGGCTCTCCCACACAGTGTCTTGAATTCATTTCTTACTGAATGAACTAAAGGAATGTGAAAGCCGATTGACAGCCTTCCCAGCCTCTCCAGAGATCTCCCCCTCCCCCAAAATTTAGCTCCCCGGGAAACAAAAATAGCAGGAGCCATAGCAGGGAGACAGTGGTCTGTTTTGTGGGATCACTCATTTATTTTTTTCTTTCTTGTCTCTTTCTCTCTTTCCAACCCCCCTACCCCCCCTCCCCACCTCCTGCTGCCCCATCCTCCCCTCCCCACGTTCCTGGCTTGCAGGTCTGTGAAGAGCAGAAGTGCGAAGAAGAAGTTTTCCCTCTGGCCATGAATTACTTGGACAGATTCTTAGCTGTGGTGCCCACTCGAAAGTGCCATCTGCAACTGCTGGGAGCGGTGTGCATGTTCCTGGCCTCCAAGCTGAAAGAGACAATCCCCCTCACAGCCGAGAAGCTGTGCATATACACGGACAATTCCATCAAACCCCAAGAGCTGCTGGTAAGCAGCCCCCTGCCACCTTCTCTCACCGTCAGCTCCTGCGCTGCCCACCTCCTCCTTCCCTGGCCCTTTCTTGCACGGCAAGCCACCCTCACTTTTGCCTTTTAAAAATCACGTTTTTCACCCGTCGTTTTTTTTTTTTTTTTTTTTTTTTGTTTTTGTTTTTTTTTTTTTTTTTTTTTTTTGGTTTGCTTTTTTTTTAATGCATTCAGCGACTTGTCAAAAAAGTACTAAAGGCTCAGAGAGGGGCCGACCCGTAACCGCAGGCGCGGGGGTGTCTGGTGGGGACACCCACCCCCTCACCCCCCCATCCCCGGATTCACACCCGCTCCCCGCCTCGTCCCGGGGGCTGCCGGCGGGGAGCCCGCGGGGACCGGCTGGGTGTACACCCGTCCCCCACGCCGCGTGCCTTTCCCCCCCCCCCCGCTCCGTGGGTGCGGGTGTCCCCGCCGCGGGGGGGAACCTCGCCGGGAGGGAGGCGCCGGGCGCACGTGCGCGGGGCGGGCGGCGCGGGGCGGCGGCGCCACCTGGCGGCAGACACGCGGCGCCGGGCGTGACTTCACCCCCTGAGCGGCTGCCAGGCGGCCCCGCGGGGGCGGGGGCGGGGGCGGGGCCGGGGCCGGGGCCGGGGCCGGGGCCGGGGCGGGGGCGCCGCCGAGGGGGCCCCCCCAGAGCCGCCGGCGGTGCCCCGGGGCCCTGGCGGAGGGACCGGGGAGGGGGACGCGGGACCCGCGACTCAGGTGGGCGCGGGAAGATGGCTGGCGTGGGAGGCAGGGAGGCTGCGGCCTCGCTCCCCTGGCTTTCACACCAGCGTGGCTCCCCCCCCCCCCCCGTGGGTTGTCCCCGGGGCGCGGCGGTGAGGTGAAAACTCAGCTCGGTTAAGCAACCCCCCTTGGGGAAAAGGCTTCTCCTGAGGGAGTCCAGGGTCAGTTCGGAGGTACAGAGTCACAATTATTTCAGGGATTAATGAATATTTGCGAAGCGCTGCGTGGTGCAGGGCGCCGGGCAGATGCAATAAGCCGCTGGGTGGGATGTGTGCTCGGCCAGGTAGCTCTGTCCTCGCAGATCCCGGTGCCGGGGAGCTTCCCCTGGGAATCGCTGGGTGAAGGCCGTGGATTGCCCCCGCGGGGAGGGCCGTGGCGGGGGGGGGGGGGTGGTCACGCTTCTGCAGAGTAGAGGGGTTTGCCCCGCCGGGGCTGGGGCAGACACGAGGCGTCCCACTGGTGGTGCGGACACGGCCCCAGTGCGAGAAGGTGTGCCGTGACGTGCCTGCCTTTGTGTGCCACGTGGATTGAAGCGTGTGTTTTTAAGCGCTTCCCTGTATTCCGCCCTCCTAGACGGTGTGCTATTCCGTATCAAAGTCTGTCGCATTAGCAGCGTTGGGAAGATCAGTCCTTAAGTTAACGAATGTGATTGGCATTAAGTTCAAACATTTTGCGGGTTTTCTTGAGACAGAAAAAACCCCTCCATCTGGTTTTGGGGGCCTTCGACATGCGTGAATGTGAGATTTTTCAAGCTATAGGAGGGCTCTGTCATAATCCAGTAGGAATGTCTGTAGGAAAGTAACTTGCTGTTAAAGCGGGCATCTATTCAGAGAAACAACTGCAGAAATGGCATTGTGGGGTCCATGTTTATGGTTTCTCAGCAACGCTGGTTGACGTCTCCTCGGCTGCAGAATTAAAGGACTTCTTTTCCACTTGCCAGCTCCACGAGCTTAGCTGGGGCTCCCCGCCACGCTGGGCTCCATCAGGCTCACGCATCATCAAGACTCGAGACTCAGTGCATGGAATTTAGTTAATAGCTAATAGTTGATGCATGAGACAGAAACAAGTCCAAGGCCTGAGCTTTGTTCATTCTGCGGGGCGTTGTAAGGTGCTCCAAATTTACATTAAATGTTGAAGCACGCAGGTCTAGCCCTGCTTGAACCCCCCAGCTAGACCCATTGATTAGGTACCATTTCTACATGTAATCTCGTTGCAGGCAATGGCCAGTAGTTACATACCCACCCCTGCTTTCCTTTGATTTCACTGGGAGTTTTGGGTGTGCAAAGAATGGGAATGAATCCTACATGATTTATTGGCAGATAATTTACACAGGCTACTTCTTGGCTGTGTTACATGCATTTCCTTTCTGCAAAGCCTGTCTTGGAGTAGTTTAAGCACCATCAGATTTATCTGCAGGAGCTTTTGAATACAGTTTTGGGAGAGAATGCCATCAAGCTAACTTCCCCAGTTTTGAAAGAAAAGAATGTATATCTAAGTTATTTTCGTGCATGGTTATCCCTACGGCTTTAAATGGCTATAAAGTAAGGACTATAGCCATTTAAAAGAAATTACTAGGAAAGGACCACAGTGACCTTGGCAATATCTAATTGCAGGCTAAACTTTCTGGGTGGGCATTCAGCACTGGATACAAAAAAAGTAAAATCTTGGCAGGAGCTGCCAGGTCTCATTATTTTCAGTAGAGCTTGACATTTCCAGTGTTTAAAAAAAAAAAAAAAAAAAAAAAAAAAGAATAAAGTCAACAACTTCAAAGCAGTAGGGGCATACGGAAAAAAATGTTTGAGCAAAACCAATTTAGCAGTGATATAATTACAATCAGAGAAATAAGCGAAGTGGGGTTTTTTTTCATGCTTGCTTATGGCTTTTCTTCTGTTCTCCCCTCCCCATCCCTCTCTGCAGGAATGGGAGCTGGTGGTGCTGGGGAAGTTGAAGTGGAACCTCGCAGCCGTTACCCCGCACGATTTCATTGAACACATCCTAAGGAAGCTGCCTCTACCTAAAGACAAGTTGCTTTTGATCCGGAAGCATGCACAGACGTTCATCGCCCTTTGTGCCACAGGTAGGACCCTGCGGCTGAAAGGGCAGATCAGTCCCTGCTGGGACGGGGGCCTTTCGTCCCCTTCCAGCCTTCTGTGGTGTGGGAAGAGCAGCCGGAGCTGGTGTGACGGTTTGCCAGGGGCACTGTGGATCAGGTCCCGAAACGGCGTGTAGCCACAGTTGGGGCAGCCGGGACGGGTAGCGCGGTTGCCGCCCTGCTCCTGTTCACTCCTGCTAACGTGCGCGGTGCTTTGGCGGGGAAGTCAGTAAGACTGGGTTAGACCATATGATTTTCTACTTTGCCAGTTCGCTAAGTTTTTTTAAAGGGCCACAGATCGTTTGTAAGGACAGATGGGGAAGGGCAGCCAGAATACTAAAAGCTGGCATGGCACATTATCCCAGAATACATCGGGCTAACGCATGAAATTAATGTGTTCGTAAATTTTTCATTAACTGGATGCTGTCCAGATAAAAGGTAAAAGTTGTATTTTAACGTGTATGTGATACTACCACATTACTGAAGCATGGGGAATGACAATTTAACAAGTAAGGATTTTTTAAAAAACATTTGGATTCTTTCTCTAGCTTCACTCCAAGAAAGCAGTGAAACTAGTCTGCTTCATAGGGAACCATTACACTACCATTTTGTCGTAAGTTTGGCTGAATACAGTTTCTATAAATACTGGATACAGTATTTAGATGAGAATAATTGTTTCTGTGGAAGAGAGGCTTTTAATTTATACCTGCCTGCAAAACATTGGGGTTTGTTTTGTTTTTTTTTTGACCCTAGTGGCTTCTAGACAATAAGTGTATTCTAATTTTCATCCAAAGGATTAATGGTTAGACCGCTTCTTAGAAGCTGGACCTGGAACAGATAAACAACATGCAGTGTTTTCTAGGGGTATTATCAAGTAGTAGATGGCTCAGTGGTGTAATTCACTACAGTTTGACACACCCAGTCCTTTGTGATGGGCCTACGTGTTTGCGGAGGGGAAAGGAAGATGGGGTGCAGCTTTTGGGTGTGGATGTCGACTGCTATGCCTGCTTCTCGATATTTGAGATGTAGTGACTGCTTTTACAATGTAGGCCAGTTTTTGCTACCTCAGTCGATATATTTTAGATAATCTTATGTGGGCTATGCTAGGGTAACTTTTTGGTTACCAAGATGCTCGGGCTTTCCCTTCTTTTCCCACTTCTACGTGATAGTTTTCAAGCAAAAGACCACAGGACTGAACAGAAATATTGCTCAAAGTCTTCAGGATCACTCTTGTTAATTCATCAGATGTTTCTGGACTAATTAGCTTTTTGCTTTAAGATTAACCTGTTACCTCAGCTTTGCTGCCTTTCTTTGCCTTCTACCCTTACCCAGGATTCATTCACACTGCCCTTTTTCTTCTGAAGAAGATGGTCTTTCCCATGGACATGTCTCTGGATCTCCACAACACCGTTAGCCATCAACCTCCAGCATACCTGGGTGTTGTCTTCCAAACCAGACCAATCTTCCCTCTCTGTTGTCACTTTCACCTCTTACAATAGTGGGTGGTTGTTTTGTGGTGGTTTTTTTTTTTTTTTTTTTACCCAAGAAAACACCTTCTTGAGTGACCTACATTTCATCATGATTTAACTTTCCGAATTACGGTCTGTAATCCTCTGCCCTTTAAGTTTTTCGCATAACCAAACCATTGCAGGACTGTGGGCCGCGAAGAAGCTTCCAAAGTCCGTGGCTTCTTTCCACTCTCTCCGTGAGTTCTTTGACGGTTAGCTTCATGCTTTTCTCCATTTACTGAGATCCAAAATGGCATACCTTCCCCAACCCTTAGCCCAGTCATGCACTTCCCTCATGTGCTTCCCTCCTGTGATACTCTTCTCATGGTGTATGTCTCCAATGCATGAACCAAAGTCCTCTACCTAGAGTTTAAAGAGGCAACAAGTCAATTTCTTGCAAATGAAAGCCATAATTGTCTGCATACAGAGCTTCCCAAAAGACAGGACGCCATGGTGCTGGCTGTAGATTTTCTTTTCTTATCCTGTTTTCCACAAACTGCTGTGTTGGCGTTTAGTTTTGAGGAGGACCTCCTGCAGTTTCGAAAGCAGAGATCTTACTCAAGCCTTCATTCCCAGTTTTCTACCTCATTCCCAGTTTACTAGCAACCTACTACTCCATTTGCAGTATAGAAATTTTGTTGTTACTACTGTATTTCCTTTTCACTCCCACTCAAAGTCGTTCTTACCCTCCTCGGTGAAGAAAAGCCCCTTCTCATCAGACTTCCTTCCAGATCCAGTTGTCATTTCCTTTTCTTGTCCTGTTTGTTGAAGAGCTCTCATCGGCCCCTGTATTTCTTCTTTCCCTTTCTCCCTCAAAGCTTCTGCTCTCCGCCAGCTCGCGTTAAGACTGGTGTTTCATTTCCCCATTTGCCTTCTTTCAGCAATATGACCTCCTTTGACATGTGGCTGCCTCTTCCCTTGCTGCCTCCATGCATGTTTTTAGCCTGGTTTTGACTCTTTGCTGTTACCGGACCTGACCTCACTGACTGGCTAGCGACTCTGGTCTGGAGCACAGCAATGAGTCTCTTTTTATTTCCCGATTCGTCTCAGTGCAGCTTTCTCTGCTCTTGAAGTACTTTTTCTTCTTTAGTGCATCGTGCGAGATACGGCGTATTTTGAACTTTTTTCCTCTAGCCTGAATTCTTCTTCACCAACTGTTCCATTCTAATTTCCCAGCAAAAGCGTTATACCAGAAATTCCCGGGTGTTCCCTGCCTTTACAGAGATGGCTGTGATCTCGGTCCTGCATTACTTCGTGTCAGCAAACAGAGAGGGAAGACACCATTAACAGTTCTGGATATTGTGCTGGATGTGTAGGATCACTTTGATACTCATCTATATTCTCCTTTCCTTTTGAACATTATGCACGAGGAGAGGATACTCAGTTCTTTTGTATATTCTTTTCAGTCATGTTTTATCATTTTGGCACTCTCTCTGTTTCTCAGTCTTTATTTTGGGCTCAGTTTCTGAAACAAGCTGAGTGGATATAAATCCACAGCCTCTCCCAAGTCCTTGTGGTGATTAATGATTCACATGAGCATGACTGAAACTGGAATGTATCCCTCTTTGCCGTTGGTCCCATCTGAGCGTACGGCTGCTGAGCAAGACAGGAGCTTGTGCCTTGAGTAAAAAGTTTTCTCTTTCCCCTGCCTTGTATTCCCAGCGCTTTCAGGAGCCTCTTTCTCCACTGGAAGGGGCCGTAAGCGGCGTCTGCCTGCAGCCTGTCCCTGGCTGAGCTGCCAGTGCCGTGGCCATGCAGACAGGGTACTGTCATTAAGCAAGAGCTTGAGCTCTTGGCTGGGTATTGCCCTTCCTCAGGCTGCCTTGCTCACTGCACGGTAAAGAGCGTATAGCTTGACACGCGCTGGCATGGCCTGGTGTGTCATGATGTCATTTGTTTTCTCATCCCGCTAGTGGCTCCCCGCGCAAGCTAAGATCTTCAGGAGTCTTCTGAATTTTAAAGGCACTAAGAGGCTGCATCTGGAGCCCTTGTCCTTAAAAGGTAGCTTGGCAAAATTGATGCGTACTGCTTTTTCAGCGTGGAAGGGTCCTGTTTATCTCTAAGCCCAATGGAGATGGTCCTTCTGTGATCATGTCTGCAAAGAGACTAAGAAAGAGGAGGAAAATCTCAGCTTTAAGTCAGTTTTGTACAGTGTGCCAAACCTCTGCCCACTGTTTCTGGGACATTAATCATCTACATTTGAAAGCTGAGAAGGCGCTTTTTTTTTTTTTTTTTTTTTAACTTCTGGCCCAAATCCTGGGTCCTTACTCAGACAGAAGTTCCGTGGAAGTCAATGGGAGTGTTGTCTGAGCAAAGACTGAAAGATGAGGCCCACAACCCTAGGAGTGATCTGGAGGGTAACCACAGAGAATGCTTTGTAACACCAAGAGGCATGTTTGGTCCTCAGGACTCCTGCTGGGCATGTCTCCTATGCAACCCTTCCCCTCTAGGCCGGTGTAAGAGCAGTTAGGCTCTGTCCCTGCAGAGGATAAAAGTGTGATACGAATTTTATTCTGGACCTGTTCTTTGCAAAGGGAAAGAAAGAAGTCCACAGAGGCTTCGCTGTGTGGATTAATCTCTTAGAAATAAATACATGTTGCAAAGTGGCAGTGGTTACGCGAATACTTCTTGCATGACAGAAGAAGGAATAATCCACATGAATTTATTGCCATACAAAAGAAGGCTCTTGCTTGTTCCTGGGAGAGGCAGCTCATATCAGTATACCGAGCTTTCCAGCGAAATGAAGCCACAAGAACCGTGGAAGATCCATCAACAAGTAAGCAGTGCCTGGGGAAAGTTTCATATGAGCATACTCGCTCCTTGAGTTGTAGGACCCATCAACTCTGGGAAGATGAGGTGGAAGGAAAAGGAGGAAAGAACCTTTGCTGATACAAGCTGGCATAATTCCAGTTGGAAAAAAAAAAAAAAAGTTTTTTTGCATTTGAAAAAAAAAAAGTAGCACACTGATGCTGGACTTGCATTTGGATCAGGCAAGAATTAAATTCACTACTTATATTGTTTCCCCATGACCTTTCTTTTAAACTTAGATGGTTAAGTATAGATCCATGCTTGCCTTAATAGTACAGTCACTGGCTGGGTGAAGTTTGAGGCTGGGTGAAATTTGACCATTATCTGTATAATTTTATAAACTGGTATTGATGACTGTCATGATTGTGTTCTCCCGATGGAGGTAACATTGCATTTTTTTTTTTTTTTTCTCCCTGTGAGAAGCATTATCTTCCTCAAAACAGCAGTTTTCAATTCTGCATTTGCAACTCCGAAAATAAACCGCATTATAGAGATGCAAACTGGCTGTTAAAAAAGCCAGCCAGTGGCCAGAGCAGTAACAAGGGTCATTGTAAGAAGGTAGAGTTCCCACCTGGCTTTGGCACACTGAGCACGTTCAGCCAGGATATTTGTTGGTGCTCTTTTCCTTCTGGCAGTTTTCATTTATTGGCTGCGAGCTAGGGCTTCCCCTTGCAGTACCTCTCTGGGTTCCTGCCTCCCGTTCCCTCCTGCTTTAGACTTGACTGTCAACCTTGCATTTTCCTGGCTCAGAGGTAGTGAAGTCCACTTGATCAGGAAAGAGCCAGCACAGCAGCTTGGCCGCAGTGCTCAGGGTCCCAGACCCTGGCTGTGCATTACCTGTGCCACACTGGCAGCCAGACGTCCTCGGCGTGTGCGTGCATCCGTGCCCTGGCTGCGCGAGCTTCAGTCAGAAAGCAGGGGTGCAGATCCAGGGTACCCTGGATTTGCTTGATGGCTCCGGCTGGCTGGCCCAGAGGTGGCTGTGTTTCAAAGGGCACCGTTTCTTCTCCGTATTGGCTTTTTTTTATTTCCAACGCTGAAGTCAGTGGGGTTGTGCAAGGTTGGTCCCTTGTTTTTTGAGGTCCTTTAGGGAAAAAAAAGTGATGTCGAAATGGCGACGGGACAGTTTCTAGTGCTTATTGCCTGTGAACAGAAGGTAAAACAAGTCCTGCTTCCTGACAACCCAGCATCTTCTCTTGAAGTGTTTTTTGTGAGCTCACGTTCTTGCAGACTACATGTTGTTGCACTGCTCTTCTGACTTTGAACGAGACTCTTGTACTTTCCTGTGAAATTGCGTAAATCACGACAAGGTTAGAGTCAGAGCCACGCCTTCAGTGCAGGCTCCGGGTGCCCACTAAGCAAGGTTGCACGTGAGTCCACAAGAAGGATTTAGCCCATAGCCTTGCTTCAGGTGTCCAGTAAGAAGTGCTTTTGATAAGATTGCCTCTCTAATTCAGGGTTCATAATTTCCAACAAGAATTTAAAGTAAAAGCATGTTTCAGCTTCACGTGATTAGGTCCTCTCTCTCCCCTTCTTATATTGATTTTTTTTTTTAGAAAAAAATCTCAGGGCAAGCTTCTGACTTAATTCTGGGGGCAGTTTTACCTGGGTGAGAACTGAGTGAGGATGGCGGGACTTGGCTTGTTGTCGTGAGGGTAATGGGGATAGAGGTTTATAATTGAAAATAATATGTAAAAAGCTTGTTTTGAATTTCTTGATGGAATGTAAGAGACTCCGAGGGGGGTTCTGCATCCCCTCAGATATGGTACTTAATATGTATGCTTTCATTGCACCTTGACAAACATTTCACGTAGTTATTGCTTTGCTTGAATATGGAAATATGTTAATTACGGCCTTTATTCCGCTGCCTGCTCTTTTCCTCAGCCTTTTCTATTCAACCCTCTAGGTGGCCCAGCACAATGTGGCTTCTTTTCTTTCAATGAGCTCTTTCCACACTAATAGGGTCCAGGGTGATGTGGAGAACCATGTGCACAAAATTGGTGCACCACCCCCCATCCCTTTGTGGGCATGTCAGGTTAAATTCATATCAGCAGGAGGGTCACTGCCATGATTTTCAATAGCGCGAGATGAGGTGATGACTTCAGACAATGGTGCCACACTCTCCAGTTGGAGACACTTGCCTCACCAGTTGCAGTAGTTAATTAATATGCTAAAAATAGAAGCCAGTGATACAAATCGCTGCCTGTTGTACAACAAAGACTGGGCATGTGTAGCTTTGATAGCCAAGTTTATGGTGCTTGTTATGGAGGGAAGTTAGTTTAGAGCTAGAGGCAATGTAAGACTTTCTGGATGCTGAGCTTTAGTCACTCTGGGCCTCTGGCCATTCGCTTGCTGTCTCATTTGCATTATGAATGACATTAAGGGAACTAACAAGGTTATTGGGCATAGAAATGTTCTCATGTGACCCCACGTGGAAGCAGACCTACAGCAGTGCTAGTTGGCAGGGGCACTGTGGCTCTTTATTCAGCTTCCTAGGAAGACGGTTTCTGAGAGTAGATGTAAAATCAACCACAAAAAAAAAAAAACGGCGTTGGGATAATGTGAAGGTCTTGATGCAAGCCCCTAGGAGGCAAGGAAGTTCAGAGGGCAGGCTGGAGCTGTGTCCTTCACTCAACCCACTGTGCCTGGCCAGTGCTGGGCGTTGAGTGCAAGACGTGGGAGCTCCCTGTTGCTTGGGTCTCCCCGCCAGCCATTTGGGGCTGGGCGAAACTGCGCCGTGGTGGCTCACTGACCAGTGAGGATCCATCCAGGTATAAAATTTAAGGGTGTGGATCCATCCAGGCCTCTGAGTGGGACCGTTTCTCCCTGCTGCTGGCTTAAATGGTGGGTGGGAGGGTGTGGGTTTTGATTCTCGCCCACTGCTTCGTAGCTTCCATAAGGACTGTCCAAACACCATCAAAGTTCGAGAGGTTTTACATTATCTTTTTACTACATCTTCCCCAAAACTCGAGACAAGGAGGGGTAAATTTTCAAAAGTCCATTGCCACCCGTAGTTCCCATGCCTAACTAGGCAACAGTCTGGTAAGTCCAAAGTTGAAATGCAGAAGCCGCTTCCCAATTTAGGGCCATGCTGGCCAAGTGCACCCTCATTCGCGCCAATGCAGGCACATGGGATTCGCAAGCCCAAGCAAGTGCAGTGTGTACAAGAGGAGAAACAGACCCATGGAGATGTAGTCTGCTTTAATTTATCCGTGTTCTAAAGAAATTAGGGGGATTGCTGATGAATCACTCTGTAGATGAGAGCAGATTTTGGGGACGCTAAGTCTCTTCCATAAATGTTTGAACATTCTTAAATTTTATACATGTTTGTTATTTGCTCTGTGGACCAGGAGGAGACTCTGGACGGTCACACAAGCACATAAACTTTTGTAATCTTTATAAAAACCTCTCGTTGTCAGAGTCCTTTAACCATTCCTGCTCTTCGTATTAGACTTTGTAAACTGGTGGCCCAGTGATCACACTTCTTCCTTGGAACCACAAGCTATCAGATCGACCTACAGAAATGAGCTATGGCAACAGTCACAGGGAGCTGAGCCGTGGGGCCACCTGGCAGTGACAGTGAGTAAGAAGAGAGGGAAAATGACGTAAGACAAGGGCTGTTTCGAGGGCTTGAAATCCCACCGTATTTATGGCCTGCTCTAGAGGTCTGGCGCAATAAGTGCAACCACGGACTGAGGCACTGGGGACAGGGCAGGCTCTGTGGGGAGTGCGTGGCTAGATGGGGCTAGCCCTTGCATGCGTGTGTGTAAATCCATGTGGGGTAAATGCGAAAGTGATTTTGATCGTGAAAGTGATTTTGATCATGGCAATTCCTGTTACCTCAACATGTGCTGAGATCAGCAGCCTCAGGGCTGTGCCCTGCACTGGTAAGTAGGAGTCAAGACTCCTGTTGACTCACTCATTAGTGGCAGCAGTATAACTTAGTTTCCAAGATGGCCAGCTTTCCTCTGCGCAGTCAGTTCTTACTAATACAATCACTGCATAATTATTTTTATTATAATGGCAGTCCATATTAATTGCTCCTTTTGGTGGGAATTTGCTCCTTCTGAAGTGTTTGTCAGAGTGTCTGCTGAGCTCCCTTGGTAGGAAGGACAGCTGGACTTCAGCAGCGTGCAGTGGTAGGCTTGCAGGTGGTCACCTCCTGGTGGCTTTGTGAGACAGATAAATCCACGTCAGGGTTTCAGCTCCTTGTTTTCTCTCCCCACTTCTAACATCCCCCTGTACAGTCCGTCTGGATGAATGTCATGACTCGGGTCCCATTCTTACCTGACTGCTTCATTCCCCGCGGGTCCCAGGGACGTACTCCAGCCGGATGAAGAACGTGCCATCTCCACAGCTATTGCAGTGTCTGCCAGCTCAGGGGCTGGGAGGCTGAGAACAACTTTCCGTGTGTCTAAAACTTGAGCAGTTATGCAGACATCAACAGGGTTACAGAATTTGTGCTCGCTGAACAGGGAGGACTTGGGGTCTGCCTTTAACAGAAGGGCAGTTTTCTGTAACAATCTGTTTCTGTAAATATTGATTGTGGTTTATTTTGTATTAAGTATCACTTGGGTTTCCTCTTCCTTCTCCCGCAGTCCCTCCAAATGAAAACTGGTAGAGGAGAGTTTGTTAATGAGTTGTTGAACCAAAGAACTTTTAAACCAAGTTTCATTTTAGAAATATACCAGTAACTTGGATGATCTCCTGGAAATGGTTTTCAGTAATACATGCTGATAAACCAGTACCTATGGCAGTATCATAAACCATAAAATTGCCTTATAAAGGTCTCAGGAACATGGGAGTTTTATTTTCATTTCTCTCCTGGTCTTCGCAGATGTGTGAGAGGAAGTTTTGAAATGTATTTTCAACTTGTTTATTAAGAAATAGTACTAATGACAAATGTGGTCTTTGTTTTTTCTTTGATTACGTAGCTATGGACTGTAAGAGTTCTCAATTCCTAATTGCAAAGGTGGTAAAGATGAACCGTTAATTAAAATCTTTTTCTTGGACAGGTCTTTAAATGCTTGAGTTAATTAAGTCTTTAAAAATTGACGTAACTAAAAATCTCAGTTTGGTCCTTTGTGATACTTTATTCCAGTTAGTTCTCTGGTTATACAGAGAGCTCTAACGTGACTGAGACCCAAATTTCTGACATAAATTACAGCAAACCTCCTTCTTCTCTTTCCTTTCCTTTAAAACTAAGGAAAGACTATTAAAAATTGTCCAGGTTTACTTTATGCATCAGTGAGAATAAAAGACTGAACTGCATTTCCATTTTAATTTGCAGATCTGTTACCCTTCCTTTGACTGCTTGTGATGATCAGTGTGACTAATGAGCTCCACTGGACCAAAAAGAGTGGCACTTTTCCCTTTCTTCTACTTCCCCGTTTTTTATTCTTGGGTGTGGTGCTTTTTTATGTTGCTTGCCTCTGATGTTTTGCAGCTTTTCTGGTCTGAGCTTGGACTAATTCCCAGATCTGTCCTTGCAGATTTTAACTTTGCCATGTACCCACCGTCAATGATAGCAACTGGAAGTGTGGGAGCAGCCATCTGTGGCCTTCAGCTCGATGATGGGGACAGCCTCACGGACCTCCTGGCTAAGATCACAAACACAGATGTGGTGAGTGTCTCGCATTCCTCTTCTCCTTTCACTTCTGAGGGCATCGTGGAGAACTGGGTCATCAAACGTGGCCTGATCCTGAAAGCTCAGTGGAGAGAAAGAGAGGGGTGCTCCCAGGGCGAGCAGGTCGCAGGTGTGGACCTGGCACCTTGGTTGTGGTGCTTTGAATGTCCAGAGCTTGTTGGCCCCCCAAGATCAATTTTCATTCAGCGGCTTGGTGGGGAGAGCCTCCTGTGCCCTGCCCGGCCTGGCTGTTGGTCAGGCAGGGCATAGCGGGGAGCCGCCTCGGGCACCCCCCTGGGCGACGGGGCGAGCGGGCAGGCAGCATCCCCCGAGGCATCGGGTAAACCAAGACGTGCGCTGGTCCTGTGTGCACAACCTCGAAACTGCTCTTCTGACCCTCACTGGGGTATCATCTGCAAATCAGGGACGTGAAGGAAGTGAATGATGGGCTGATCCTCCAGCACGGGCACGATGTGAGGCAGATGCAACCCAGACTGTCTGGGGTTTTGTCTATAACTTCTCTGAGCTCGCCCCGTGACGGGCATTTCTTGGCTTGTCAGAAAGTCCCGGCATCAGTAGGAGAGGTGAATCTGGTGGCACTTCCGTGGTGCTCAAACTCACTCAAAAGTGAGTTTTCTGCTCGGGTCAGCTTCCAGTGGGGACATCAGAAAAACCCAACCCCTGACAGCTCTTTGTGGCAGTTTTAGCAAAAAGCTGAGGGGACTGAAAGGAGCGCTCAGGTTGCCTTCCCCGAGGGCTGGTGCCTCTCCTGTTGTGCCCCTGTGTTCGTGGGGCACTGCAGGGAGAGCTGACACTCCTGCAAATCCAAACTGCTTGGTCTGTGGGTAAACAGGAGTTTCGCCTCTTGCGAAGCTTACGTGTTTTGCCATAATGAAATCTTCTCCAAAAAAAATGAGGTTTTCTGAAATGCAGGCCACTAATAAGTTAATGCTTTTTTTACCGTAGTATGTTAGTGATAACCAAGTATCAGTTTCCAGTGCGTCATTCTTAATGTGTGCTAACTGTAAAACTTTTTATTGCTTTTACTTTGCAGAGTAAATACACTGTGCAATTATTAGATCTGTGATAACGTTGTTCAGAGAAATTTTTTTTTTTTTCCAGCAAATATTCTGCGTTTTGGTTAAAAAAAAATGATAGTTCAGTTTAACAAAAAGGGAAGAATTTTTCTGTTTCTTTTTTTCTTTTAGTCGGATTGATCCTAATTTTCAGTTGCAGTTCTGGGGCTTCCCATTCATTTGATTGGAACTGGTTTTTGCACAGAAACAGGAACATTTCTGATTCTGAATGCTTATAATGTAAATCAAGTAGCCACAGAAATGAGCATATATTTATTTCAACGTAAATGAAAATTCTCTGCAGGCAATTGCTCTCATGTCTGTTTTCTAAGCGTGGAGAAACAGTGGTGATACGTTACACTAAGCAGCAAGGAGCGTGCAAGGAGAAGAATCCTATATATAACAAATCAGACTGCACGGCCTGGTGCAAGTTATTGCATGAGGCTTATTTCTACAGTTGTTACATTTAGACTGGGTAAATCCATTAAATTCACTTCATTTATGTGGGTAACAAGAATTATCTGTTATTGGTACTGATATTGAGAGTTATTGGCTGAATGAAATCTTCTCCTTGGACGTTTGTCTGACTGGATGTAACATGATGAGCTTTGGATGCTGCATCCATCAAATGTCCAGGAGGACAGGACTCTTAAGACAAGTGAGCAGATGCGAGAAGGAAATTAGAAACCAGGTAGAGGAAGACAAAAATTCAGAGAGAGGCTAACATTCGTAAAGGTGCTGTTTTCAGCCAAGGTTGTGAATATCCACAGAATAAGGAAAACGGTGCTAGCCACTACAAGCTTCCTGGATAACTCTGTGTCTTAACTCCAGGGAGTGTCTGAAAGGTTGGTGACCCACCGCTGTGGTTTTCCTTGTTATATGATGATGTCAGATTAAGTTGTTCTGCTCAGCTGCTGCTCATTTTCATGCTTCTTTTCGCTCATGTATGCCCACACAACTGTTCATATACTTGTGTTTCAAGCCCATCCTGGAACTGATCCAGCTTAAAGAAGGAGGGAAGGACCACTTTTTTCGGAGTTGGGGGGGTCAGAGGGGCTTGTTTGGTTTTTAAGCTGGATCAATTCACCAGTAGATTTCCAAGAAGAAGCCTCACAAACAGCTGGGAGAGCTGAGCACTGTAGCCCAGGGCAGGAGATGGGGGCGAGAAGAATTTCTGTAACCATCGTTGTCTGTGAGCTTCTTGTACTACAGCTCTAGAAATTACAGCCTGACGGACCAACTTGTACTCCAGCAGGACAAGGATAATGATGAGAGCGAGGGAATGACGGTATGGGATGAAGAATGGGAACACAAATAGCCTTTACAGTGGCAGGGGAGGGACCGGGAGGCTTGGCAGAGTGCAGGAGAAGAGAATAATTGGAAAGTTTAGGGGTAGATTTCACAAGGTTGGTGCCTGCTTCCCCTGCTGTGAAGCATATCCCTGCCCACAGAAGTCCCTGGGTAGTCATTTGGAAGTCCTTTTTGAGGACAGAAGCAAGTGGTGCTCAGGTACCACCAAAACCCGGACCTAGAACAGTTACTTCCAGCGGAGCTTATCGCTTTGTTCCTGCGTCTGCTGATTAGTGATGACGTCTTTCGATCACCAGACCGTGTTCCCCATATTGGTAAGCTCCATATAAACTTCTGATACTGTTTCCACCTGATTTTAGCACTTTTCAGAAGGGAGATGCCAAGGTAGCCCTTGCTGGTGTATTTGTATTTGAGGTGTTTGGTAGGTTTTGATCAACCATTGAGTAGCCGGGTTCTGTCTTTCTGGAGATGTCAGGGAGTTGTCCGCAGTGGTTCTTTTTCCCCTCTTAACAGTTTCCCTGTGCAGTCACAAGGATTTTTTTTCCCTTCTTGCTCTTTTTCAGAATGGGCAGGAGGTTTGGGTAGCAGCGACAGCATGGTGCTGGCAATACTCAGCTCTTCAGTCAGGGCGAGCAAGCTTGACACACGGGCCATGCGGGCTACATCGCCGGGCCCTCACAAAATATTTAGCTGTGCTTCTATTCCCTGGTCACATTTCCCTCCCTCACCTGTCTTTTTTTTTTTTTTTGCCAGCAAAGAGATTTTGAGCATCCCTTTCTGCAGTAACCTGTTCCTTAGTCACCTTTCAGCTGGGCTGTTGCAGTTCATGTGGGTGGGCCCGTGTTGGGAAGGTCCCGCAAGGCTGGGCGCAGCCGCTCACTCGCATAGCTGCTCCTCACCATAGGGATTACACCCACGGGTTTTCCTACTGCACATCTCCATGTGTTTTTTTTTTTCTGATTCCTGGCTGGTGCCTTGCAGCTTCACCTCTGAAGCTCTGCCTGAATTGGGATCCCAGCTGACTCTTCCCATGCTCTGTCTGCGTACTCGGGATGTTGGTAAAGGCTTGGAGGGATAGAAGAAAAATCCCAGTAGGGTCTCTTTCTGGTGGAATTTTCTTTTCTCCTTGGCATGGTAGAGCCCATGTTAATTGACTTTCCAAGCATATTGTGAGTGTATTACACACAATGGCATTTGAGGAAGAAATACATGGCTGTATTTGCTGTCTTGGGAGTTTTTCTGGATTCTCTTTGTCTGATATTTATTGCTATACACTTAAAGTTCATGCTTTTTATTATAGGAGATATTGAAGCTTTCTCAGGCATCCCAGGGCTTCTTAATGTAAGGACCTTCTGCAGCATCTTGCAGATTGGACAAGCTTTATCTCTTGTGCTGAATTTTTCTATCCTCATTGTTTCAGTCTGAAAGAACATACCTGCCAAAACAGCTTAGTAGTTAGAAGAATAAAATACGTTGGGTTTTGCATTGAAAATTTCTTCATGCTTTTTCCTTTGAAATTTAGCAGATGGGTTTTTGTTAGAAATGTGCTTTTTGCCATCCTGGTGAAAATCTTCCCAGATCTGGCTGGGCTTATATGCCTTTGGGGGAAAAAAAAAAAAAAATCACTCTTCCCAAATAACAAAGAACTCTTAACATTTTACAGTTTTAACATTACAAGCTCAGTACGAGTGAAAAGTGTGCTGCAGCGGCAAAGTAAGCCAACAGGGTGCTGGGTTGCATCACCAAGGGCATCATCAGCAGAGATAAAGAAGTCATTCTCCCACTCTGCTCAGCGCTTGTCAGGCCACACCTGGAATACTGTGGTCAGTTTTGGTCCCCGCTATGCAAATAAGATGTGGACAGGCTGGAGAGGGTCCAGAGAAGGGCCACAAAGATAATCAAAGGACTGGGAAGCCTGCCACGTGAGGAAGGGCTGAGAGAAGTGGGGTTTGTTTGGCCTTGAGAAGAAAAGGCTTAGGGGAGACTTAATCACCATGTTCCAGTGTGTACAGGGGGGCTACAAAGAAGATGGAGACTCCCTTTTTACAAGGAGTCACACGGCAAAGATGAGGGGTAATGGGTCCAAGTTATTCCTGGGGAGATTCTGATTGAACACGAGAGGAAAATTTGCCACAATGAGAACAATCAGACACTGGAATAATCTCCCCAGAGAAGTGATGGATTCCCCAACACTGGACACTTTTAAGATTCAGCTGGACAGGGTGCTGGGCCATCTTGTCTAGACCATACTCCTGCCAAGAAAGATTGGACCAGATGATCCTTGAGGTCCCATCCAACCTGGGATTCTGTGATTTTACTGGTCACATCTCCTCTCCAAGAGTCTGTTGGCACTGGGTAGAGGCAAGCTTCTGTCCCTTTGCTTCTGGTCTCAGCCCACAGCATCACAGGCCACAGAGGAGAGTCTCACTCGGCCCCCAAGTCTGAGCACACTTGGGACAAAAGGAGCTTCTGGATACGTTAGTCACTAAAAAAAAATAAATCTTTTCAGAAGTTAGAGATGCTGTCATTTTGTAAAGGTGTTTTTGTCTGTCTGGCAGAGGTGGCCTTAATTCAAAGCCTGTCTCCTGCAAGCTTTGAAGTCTCAGCCCA